TGCACTGATGGAAGAGGTTGTGGAAGCCACCTCCATCCTCAACTTTAAAGCTAAAATTCGTAAGATAATTCGAACGTGATACTAATTATGTCATAACGCAACGGGTACAACGAGGCCAAGTAGGGTATGAGGAGCTAGACCTCACTTCACCGTAGTCACTGATACGTGAGTACTATGCCTCTTCAACACAAGCGGAGTTAACTGCCATTGTTATGGCGTTAAGATTCCTTAAACGAAACACTAATGGTGCAGTGATCTCCACTGATTCAAAAGCAGGGCTACAAAACCTTAGTAAAAGTCGGGCAGAAAATCCTGGGATAGTCGCTGAAATTAAGAGAGTCGTGAGAGTACTAACCAACCAGGGAAGAGTCGTCAGGTTTCTGTGGATCCCATGTTGGAGAATGTGGGAATGAACGAGCAGATGTGCTGGCTGCTGAAGGCGCTGAGGGAGACTATCTTGAATACTTCATACCCAAGAGTCTTCTACAAATATCAATATTGTCAGACAACATCACCGTGACAAGGTAACTGAGGAAAGGAGGATAGAAGCACAAACCAGTGAATCTATACGATGGTACAACATGGTTGCAGCTGGCAGTCCCAATCATTATGGCCGAAGAGGAGGAAGACGAGGGAGAGAATCAGTAATAGCAAGAATCCGTCTTGGATACATATATCCATGGAGATTCGGAATGGAAACAACAGTTGAGCAGCGGAGTTGCAGAATCTGTGGTGAGAGTGACGGACACCGCCTTGACCACTACCTGAGAGAGTGTGAACATCTAAGAGTCATTAGAAATATGTGTAGAAAAATAAACCCCCCATTGTTTGAGTTAGGAAAATACTTTGTCAAATATAGATACTGTTCTTAAAAGATTCCCCCCATTTTGCACCCGCAAGATGAAGTAAGTACTTAAGAGTTGACAAATGTTAATCTTCTTGTTTGGGGAAGCTCCTCACTTAGTTGAGATAGTTAAGTAAGTCCCAGCTGTGTCTGGGTACGAGTGACAAGATGAACAACCCAGCGGGTTTTCTTCCTATTGGAGAGTGTTGAACATGCTGCTATGGTGGTGTGTCCACTCACAAGGTGAGTGGCGCTGCCCAATACTGTCACTATGGCGGTGTGTCCACTCACAAGATGAGTGGCGCTGCCCAATACTGTCACTATGGCGGTGTGTCCACTCACAGGGTGAGTGGCGCTGCCCAATACTGTCACTATGGCGGTGTGTCCACTCACAAGATGAGTGGCGCTGCCCAATACTGTCACTATGGCGGTGTGTCCACTCATAAGGTGAGTGGCGCTGCCCAATACTGTCACTATGGCGGTGTGTCCACTCACAAGATGAGTGGCGCTGCCCAATACTGTCACTATGGCGGTGTGTCCACTCACAGGATGAGTGACGCTGCCCAATACTGTCACTATGGCGGTGTGTCCACTCACAAGATGAGTGGCGCTGCCCAATACTGTCACTATGGCGGTGTGTCCACTCACAGGATGAGTGACGCTGCCCAATACTGTCACTATGGCGGTGTGTTCACTCACAGGATGAGTGGCGCTGCCCAATACAATACTGGGGGTGGGGGGGGTTGGGGGGGGCAGGGTACATGGTTTGTTGACATAAATGTCAACAAACCCGCCATGCTTGAAAGATGTACATGTTTCGTCAGTGGCCAGGAACACACTTGATGACTCGTGGTTCACTATACCTGCTGCTTGGCGCTTTTTTTCTGGTATATAAACTTCTCGCTCATCATCCCTCATCATACTGATGACTCGCCTGAAATTATCATACCGCCAGGGCCAAGGCAGCCTCATCACCTGCTGGGAGTTGAGGGAGGTAGGGAGAGTAGGAGGTAGGGGGGGGGGGGGGGGGGGGGGGGCGGGGGCACCAGGAGTATGTAACGGGACAAATGACTCAGGTCATTGAACTCATATTGTCGTCTCAACCACCACATTATGGTACAGTTACACCACACCATGGTACAGTTACACCACACCATGGTACAGTTACACCACACCATGGTACAGTTACACCACACCATGGTACAGTTACACCACACCATGGTACAGTTACACCACACCATGGTACAGTTACACCACACCATGGTACAGTTACACCACACCATGGTACAGTTACACCACACCATGGTACAGTTACACCACACCATGGTACAGTTACACCACACCATGGTACAGTTACACCACACCATGGTACAGTTACACCACACCATGGTACAGTTACACCACACCATGGTACAGTTACACCACACCATGGTACAGTTACACCACACCATGGTACAGTTACACCACACCATGGTACAGTTACACCACACCATGGTACAGTTACACCACACCATGGTACAGTTACACCACACCATGGTACAGTTACACCACATTATGGTACAGTTACACCACATTATGGTACAGTTACACCACACCATGGTACAGTTACACCACACCATGGTACAGTTACACCACACCATGGTACAGTTACACCACACCATGGTACAGTTACACCACACCATTGTACAGTTACACCACACCATGGTACAGTTACACCACACCATGGTACAGTTACACCACACCATGGTACAGTTACACCACACCATGGTACAGTTACACCACACCATTGTACAGTTACACCACACCATGGTACAGTTACACCACACCATGGTACAGTTACACCACACCATGGTACAGTTACACCACACCATGGTACAGTTACACCACATTATGGTACAGTTACACCACACCATGGTACAGTTACACCACATTATGGTACAGTTACACCACACCATGGTACAGTTACACCACATTATGGTACAGTTACACCACACCATGGTACAGTTACAATAAGGGTAATGAGTAAATGGAATGACCTAAAGGAGCAGGTTGTAAAGGCCAATTTCATTCATGATTTTAAAAGCAGGAATGATAAGGAAACAGGTCAGGAGTCATTGCAGTAGATAACTAATGGCTAGAAAAGCGGGGTTTAAGAGCTAGACCTCGATGTTGCAGGCACAAATAGGTGTAAACAGATAGGTGAGTCACACACACACACACACACACACACACACACACACACACACACACACACACACACACACACACACACACACACACACACAAAGGCTAATAAAGACAGGCTATTTAACACAAGGAGCACACGCACAAGGGGACACAGGTGGAAATTGAGTACCCAAACGAGCCACAGGGACGTTAGAAAGAACTTTTTCAGTGTCAGAGTAGTTAACAGATGGAATGCATTAGGAAGTGATGTGGTGGAGGCTGACTCCATACACAGTTTCAAATGTAGATATGATAGAGCCCAGTAGGCTCAGGAACCTGTACACCAGTTGATTAATAGTTGAGAGGCGGACCCAAAGAGCCAGAGCTCAACCCCCGCAAGCACAACTAGGTGAGTCCAATCATTACAGTGTTTTCCTTTCACTAACCATGGAGCTCTATAACTTATTTTTTCTTATTAATAATTCTAGCATTGGGCGGACGGGTGTGTCTCTCCCACAATATAATTAACTACGACTACCCCTACCCCCAAGGTCGAATTATTGACCCAGCCCAGTAAGCAACCCCACAACAACCTGACTAACTCTGGAGTACCTACTTACTGCTAGGTGAACAGAGGCATTAGGTGATTGGAAATGCGCCCAACTATTTGTGTTCCGCCCAGGGCTCGAACCCAGAATTCATGATTGTGAGTTGAGAACGAACCCAATCTGCACTGCCGGAAATTAGTTTCGGTCCGTCCTCGACCATTACCAAGTTGTGTAATAAAAAAAAGGATGTTGTTGTTGTTGTTGTTGTTGTTGTTGTTGTTGTTTTAGATTTAGCTACTGGGAACAAAAAGTTCCAAGTAGCACGGTCTATGGTGAGCCCGTAACCCAAGAAAAGGACGGTACGGGCAAATAAATAAGGAAAGAGAGTGAGGTGAGAGATGAGGAACAGGTAAGAGGAGAAGGTAAGCGAAAGGTGAAAGGTAAGAATACGATGAAAGATAAGAATGGAATGAGGTAAGAATAAGAGGTAGATAAGAAAATGAAAAGGGAGAAAGGAAAAGAGGTAGGCTTAAGTCAGATCACGTTTGTTAAGAAAGTTGGAGCATTTGAGTATGTACTGTGAAAGGGAAGAGTCAATAGCAATTCTTTTATGTTCCTTAAGTGTAGCCCGGTCTAACTCTGCTGTTGCAGTGTCTGCTGTTGCAGTGTCTGCTCTTGAGCAGCCTCAAGGTAGTGTAGCCCGGTCTTATTCTGCTGTTGCAGTGTCTGCTGTTGCAGTGTCTGCTCTTGAGCAGCCTCAAGGTAGTGTAGCCCGGTCTTATTCTGCTGTTGCAGTGTCTGCTCTTGAGCAGCCTCAAGTTAGTGTAGCCCGGTCTTACTCTGCTGTTGTAGTGTCTGCTGTTGCAGTGTCTGCTCTTGAGCAGCCTCAAGGTAGTGTAGCCCGGTCTTATTCTGCTGTTGCAGTGTCTGCTCTTCAGCAGCCTCAAGTTAGTGTAGCCCAGTCTAACTCTGCTGTTGCAGTGTCTGCTCTTCAGCAGCTCACACATGAATATTCTCTCATGGAAGGTTAATTTGCAACTTCGCCTTTTCGTGAATACATCGTGAGGAGTCAGTGAGCCCACAGTGTGTATGCAGTATGTGACTGAATACCTCGATAGATAATGTTATTAAAACAAGACTAAAAAAGAAGCGGGGAAAAGAAACAGGGAAAAAGAAGGAAACCCCACCTCCTTTTAATACTTTTACCCAAATATCAGATTAACAAGATTATTGCGAATAACCAAATTCAACTCCGGCAGTGCCCTCAGGGTGGCTGTAGGTCCATAAACTCATTCTCCTGACCGACCAATTATGATCATGTGTGATGCATAACATATACTAAGTTACATTACATATTTGTTTATAGTCAATTATTTTTTTACGACAAATTCAAAACCTTATTTGAACATGTATACAGCGTATGGTGTTCATGTGTAGTGTACCTTGAAGACTGGAGGTTCCTCTACTGGAGCAGTTGTCCTCGCTGGGAGGCAGGTGTGTGAGGAGGAGAGCAAGGAGCGCGTGAAGGATGCGTGTTCACCAGGACAGGGCCGCAGCCTCACTGACTGGACGAGCGTCGTGACCCAGAAGGAAGGGTGCTCCACCCTGCGACTCTGGTTCTCTCTTAGATAACACCTACCGTCCCACGCTCCGCCCCCCTGCCACGCCCACCACACCCCCACCCCCCCTGCCACGCCCACCACACCCCCCTGCCACGCCCACTACACTCGAGCGACAACCACTACACACACACACGCATGTGTGTGTGTGTGTTAGAGAGAAATATATGTAGATATAATTGAGGAAAAAGAGATTTGCTTAGAAAGGCGGAGTCCAAGAGCTAATAGGTCGATTCTGCAGACACAAATAGTAAAACACACACACACACACACACACACACACACACACACACACACACACACACACCCTCCCTCCGTAACATTGCCGACAAAACAGGCCATTGACCCGTTGTGCGCGCAATATTTTTGGCATTTCCTCCAAACCTGTCTGAAGATCCCGCAGCAGCGGTGAGGAGCGGCTGGGGGATATCTCCACTCCTCTGGGGGTCGAGGTAGAGGGGAGGAAGAGTAGAAAGCTGCAGGTACTGGGAAAGAAAAGTCAGGTAATAATGGTCGTCTCCTTACAAGATTACCGGTGACATTCTTAAGGGGCCTTAATGAGGGAAATTAAGCGTTGTTTATTTTTGACCAGACCACACACTAGTATGTGAAGGGACGACGACGTTTCGGTCCGTTTTCATGGTCCAGGACGGACCTAAACGTCGTCGTCCCTTCACCTTCTAGTGTGTGGTCTGGTCAACATATTTTAGCCACGTTATTGTGACTCATCGCCTGAATAAATGTTGTTTAATTTTGTTCAAACTTTATTTGCTAGTTGCATGTGAACCGCGCGGCAACTGGTCCAAGTTTCATCATCTCAGCCTAAATAGAAATGGAGAAAAAAATACAAAACCTATTATTCAACAAATCGTAAATACTTCAAAATGTCTAGACAAACAGAAGTGTCCACTAAAATTATTTTTATGACACTCAGCTATCACATTAGCATATAATAAAGAATTTCTATAAGCAATTTTATCAAAAAAAAATTTTTGTGCAATAATACAATTGTTCAAAGTTCCCCCAGAAATATGCAGCAAACTGATATTTATAAATATTTATAAAATCAATAAATGAACATAGGAATAAAGTGTCTTATAGAGGTTGTAGAAACACAAACTCTACATAAAATGTGCAATTTTCATGTAAATTGATTAATAAATGAAAGAGTCCAGCCACCATGAAGTTGTAAATTACTTGAGTAAAATAAGTTTAAAGTTTGGCCACCTGTGGCTGAGGTTGACGTCGACCGATTTCTTTCAAAACTGTCACCCTTACAGACAGACATACATTCAGTAAAGTGCACAAGTTTCATGCAAATCGCCCGAAAAAACATGAGAAAAAATCTAATATTTTTTTTACTAATTTTTTGTGGAAAAAAGTAATTATTAAAATACTTGATTATATGGTATTGTGATAACTTAGTCATAGACACGATTTCAGTTGACACTTGTGTTTGATGTTAATTTTTTAGTATTTTGGAAAATTTTGGTGACCTGGTGGCGACCTGGTGGCGACCTGGTGGCGCCCTGGTGGCGCCCTGGTGGCGACCTGGTGGCGCCCTGGTGGCGACCTGGTGGCGACCTGGTGGCGCCCTGGTGGCGACCTGGTGGCGACCTGGTGGCGACCTGGTGGCGACCGCTCAGTCAGTGAGAGCCGCGAGCGGACCAAATTCTGTGGTTTGTCTAGGGAAAGGAGTTCCTAAGGGAACTTTGAGCCCAGTAGAAGGAGTAGTGGATGGAACTCCAACGTTATTGAAGAAATACTGAGGTCTGAGGAAGAGCAGTCTCCATAGTGAGGAGTTGGACCTCAAGCTGTGAGAGGAGAAACAGTGGAGTGAAGTTTCACATGCTTCTGTGGTACCAGTGATGAAGCACCATTGCTGTTCAAGGAAGACTTCATGGTGTTGCAGCTGGAAGAGCTGTGGAGGACCCTGGTAGACAATTCTAGGAGAGTCTGAAGATGTTTAGGGTAGTGGACCTCTAGGTGTAGAGAAGAGGTTCTTAGTGACTACTTATAGAGAGTTGATAGAGTGTTTGAGTGTCATTAGCGTGCATGATGCAGTGGGAGGCGAGTGATTGGATATTTTTGTACTGAGGAATAATTATACAAATGTTTATAGTGTTACAGCCATAGACTGGATTTCTTGTGTATATTTATATATATTCTAGGACTGATAGTGCCATATTGTATTACAAGATTTAACCCACTTGGTGAGGTTGGTAACATAAGTGGCGAGCCAGGAGTTGGGCCACCACTCGATATAGCAGCTGATAGAGTCCGGATGGTATTGGATTGCAGACCTGACTATAATAGTATAGAGTGTTGGAGTCATATTATTATTCTTGTATATGTGTTGTACATGTTCATTGTCTAAGTAAATGTATATAAATTTGGCGGTGTTTGCCCTTGTCCTAGTGAGGCTACCCAGAAATTAGAAAAGAGAGAGAGAGAGAATCACAGCTGTGGACAGGGTGGTATAGAATTATAATCCAAAGAAAGGAGGATTGAGGAGGTCATACCAAATAAGTAGAGAGTGGGGAGTCACAGCGGCTCGAATTGGGTGTGTGCACATTACAACGAGGCCAGTGTAGGAGCCGCATCACCCTAAATCTCCAGTCTCCGTGGTGTAGTGGTAAGACACTCGCCTGGCGTTCCGCGAGCGCTATGTCATGGGTTCGTATCCTGGCCGGGGAGGATTTACTGGGCGCAATTCCTTAACTGTAGCCTCTGTTTAACGCAACAGTAAAATGTGTACTTGGATGAAAAAACGATTCTTCGCGGCGGGGGATCGTATTCCAGGGACCTGCCCGAAACGCTACGCGTACTAGTGGCTGTACAAGAATGTAACAACTCTTGTATATATCTCAAAAAAATAAAAATAAATGTGTGACGCTGAGCCCCCTCTCCAAGAGCAGGAAGCGTACAGGGTGATCTGATCAAAGTATAAGCACTCTACGGTTTTTGGTTGGTTGTACAGAAGGGACTTACGCCCCTACCTACAACAACAACATCATAATAACAGCGCGCAGGACTCGTAATTCTGTGGCCCCGGGTTCGACTCCCGGACCAGGCAGAAACAAATAGACAAAGTTTCTTTCACCCTTAATGCCTCTGTTACCTAGCAGTAAATCGGTACCTGGGAGTTAGACAGCTGTTACAGAGCTGCTTCCTAGGTGTGTGTGTGTGTGAAGAAGGGGGGGGGAATAGTAGTAACAGTTGATTGACAGTTGAGAGGCAGGCAGAAAGGGCAAAGCTCAAGCCCCGCAAGGACAACTAGGTGAATACAACTAGGTGAATAACACACACACACACACACACACACACACACACACACACACACACACACACACACACACACACACACACACACACACACACACACACACACACACACACACACACAGTGTGTGGGCCTCGCGGCTGAGTGGACAGCGCTCTTGGGTCGTAGTCCTAAGGACCCGTGTTCGATCCCCGGCAAAGGCAGAAACAAATGGGTAGATTTTCTTTCACCCTGATTTACCTGTTCACCTAGCAGTAAATAGGTACCTAGCAGTTAGGCAGCTGCTACGGGCTGCTTCCTGGGGATGTGAGAGTGTGTGCGCGCACGTATGTAAGAGAATATATGTAGTAGACATAATAGAGGAAAAATTGGTTAGAAAGGCGGGATCCAAGAACTAATAGCTTGATTCTGCAGATATAAATAATAAATAAATGGTAAATTACACTCACTGTATTTACGGGTTGTGAGAATACATAATATCGGCGTTCTTACACTCTTGCAAGGCCACTGACACGCATATAGCGTTTCGGGCAGAATAATATTAGTGGTGAAGATCTTGTGGTCCCTTGCTGCTGCCCGAAACTTTACCTCATTGTTTAGATTTTCTGTCCCAGTCTCTGGCCATAACGTTTCAGCCTCAGCTTCCTAAAATAAGAGTACTTATAGTACCTGTGTGGTCGACAGCACAAACTTTTCGTGATGGACCACTCGAAAGTAGATAGACTTTTGTATTACTGAATTTGGACAGTCCGGAAACTTTTATACATGGTACTTCCAGAAGGATATGGTACCTTATCATGTGGTACCTTTCCTTTCCACAAGAATATCGTACCTTACATGGTACCTTTCACTTCCAGAAGGATATGGTATCTTATCATGTGGTACCTTTCCTTTCCACAAGAATATCGTACCTTACATGGTACCTTTCACGTCCAGAAAGATATGGTACCTTATCATGTGGTACCTTTCCTTTCTACACGAATATCGTACCTTACATGGTACCTTTCACTTCCAACTAATGCATGAATTCCTAAAATATATTTATGTCTGTAAAAAGAGAATGTCTGACTCTTTGCACTAAGCTGGAGACCAGATGCTCAGGGCTAGCCTCACCCAACTTCTTAACAAGACACAGGGCGAGGGTGTGGAAATGGCATAGGCCAGTCAGGGTCGGCCCCAGTGCCACACATTAAGAAATATCAGGCATCTATTTTGGTTCTTGATTTTCATTGTCTGAAATCGGGACTTTGTTTACTCGTAACTTCTGTAACTAGGATCCAATCTTTTGTATTTTTTGTATTTGTCATGTTTAAAACCCAGGTTAGGGTGGCTGGGAACCTAGTACCGACTTGGGGGTCACCTAGAGGTATACTCTTATATCTCTAGATATAGTATATATAGATATACTGATCCTCTTCCAGGTCAGCACTAGGGGGTCGACAGGAAACAATTTCCAAGCATGTTGTTCTGTGTAGGTGTTCAGTGTTGGTGTTCTGTGTAGGTGTTCTTACTGTCGACCCCTCGACCCCCCACCCCCCTTCCCCAGTGCTGATCTGGAAGAGAGGAACATCTCTTGGTGACACCTAGATCTTCTTCACCCTTCTCCCTACTCAAGATAACCTCAGGATCTCAAGATAACCTCCCTCCACCCTTTTCCCTTACTCCCTC